CCTTCTCCTCCTCCTTGTCCTTATCCTCGTCCTTGACCTCCTTGTCCTCGTCCTCACCCTCCTCCTACTCCTTGTTCTCATCCTCTTCCCTGTCCTTGTCATCCTCATCCTCTTCATCCTCTTCCTCGTCCTCCTCACCCTCTTCCTCCTCCTCCTCCTCCATTTCCTCCTCCTCACTCTCTTCCTCCTCACCGTCCTCCCGCTCCATGCATCTCAGCACACCCAGGAGCGCTCCCGTTCTGGGGATCCCGGAGCACGGAGCGTGCCGGTGCTCATCCGCGCCATGCAGGGCGCGGGCAGGCMGGTGCTCCCGTTCCCTTCCCGCTCTCCCATCCTGCCTGGAGGCGGTGATCCAGGAGAAAGCCGCGCTCCCAGTCCTGCACGGACCTCTCAATCCRTCCACCCATCCTGTGTGCGAAATGATGCCCCTCAGCACAGTCACCCCCTTCCTTCTCCATTGGGAACACCACATCCCTGCGCTCCCGAGGATCCCCAAAAAAAGGGTGCCCAGCCGGAGGATCTCCCGGCACCGCGTTTTCCCGGGCGCCGAATTTGTCCGGGCCTGAATCCATGGCACCGGCAAGGGATGCGCTGAAGCCGCGTGGAGCTGCTTTCCCTATCCGAGATGGGCACAAACGGCTGGGATTGGCAGGGAACGTCGGGATAGGGGTGCCCCGCTTGCATTGGAGGAGCCTGCCTGGAATTTGAGAGTAGCCACTTGGGATTCGGCAGCTCCCAGATGGAATCTGGGGAGCCCAGCTGGGATCCAGCTGCCCAGCTGGGATTTGTGGATTCCCATATAGGATTCGGGGTGAAAATATGTCTGGGATGGAAGTGCACGCCTGGAATTTTGGGATGCACAGCTGGGATTTAGGGCAATGTGTGGATGGCATGGGGGGGAGATACACTGGGATAAGGGTACCCAGCTGGGATTGGAGGCCCCTAGTTGGAATTTAGGGGTGTCCAGATGGGATTTGTGGTGTAACCTTGAAGCTGGGGGCTGCCCAGCCAGGACTGGGGCATGCACAGCTGGGATTTAGGGACACACCTGGATTTTGGGGAAGAGAGATGGAATTTGGGGATGCACATGGGCATTTGGGAGATGCACATTCAGGATGTGGGGATGCACACCTGGATTTTGGGGGAGAGAGAGAGCTGGAACATGGAGACGCACACAGGATTTGGGGATGCTTGCTAGGATTTAGGGGTGCACATGGCGATTTGGGGGTGCACACCCAGGATTTTGGGGATGCACACCTGGATTTTGGGGATGCGCACAGGATTTAGGGGTGCACATGGGGATTTAGGGGTGCACACGGGGATTTAGGGGTGCACACGCAGGATTTTTGGATGCACACCTGGATTTTGGGGATGCGCACAGGCTTTAGGGGTGCACATGGGGATTTGGGGGTGCACACGCAGGATTTGTGGATGCACACCTGGATTTTGGGGATGCGCACAGGATTTAGGGGTGCACATGGGGATTTAGGGGTGCACACGGGGATTTGGGGGTGCACACCCCGGATTTGCGGATGCACACCTGGATTTTGGGGGGACGGCTGGAATGTGGGGATGCACGTGGGGATTTGGGGACACTCGGCGCTGCTCGGGGACCCCGGGACCGGGGCGCAGGCAGAGACTGGGGGGGGGGCTGGCCCCGCCCCCTTGGCCGCGGCCCCACCCACTCCGGCAGCAGCCTGCGCGCTCATTGGCGGCGGCGGCGCCCAATGGCGGCGGGGCAGGGGCGCGCCCAGCGAGGGGCAGCCAATGGGCTAGCACGGGGGGCGT